AACAAGTGAATCAGCGATGGGGGACCAGTTCTTGGACTTGGGTGTTAAAAAAGGACGCGCATGCAGAGACCGGAAATATCCGTCCATTCTGTTCCTAGACTGATCTCGTCTAGGTCTCATACCTGCAGATTTATATCTTCAGCCTCGGCTATCCGAGAGCGCCTCTTTTGAGACGCAGTCTTTTTATGTCATCTATAGATTTGTTTCTGTCATCTATAGATTTGTTCTGTAGGTAGTTAACGTCACCTGCATGTTCACCTTACCTTCACCTACATGCACTCGGACTCGCACACACTTCCGTACACACTTATATACCCATGCACTCACTCACACGCGCGCACATAGTTAGTCATATTTTAACAAGTAAACCCGGTTTCTGGAAACAATATATACTGCTTAACCATAAAATAAAATTCTCAGATTCAATTTCCTAAAAGTGGCGCCGTATTTGGTGACAGCCGTGGTTCTAACTATCACGGAGTCTTGCTAGCCTATGTTGACCTCAGTCTTGGGTTGAGCATTATACACAAACATAGATAGATATGGAACCCTTTAGAAACGTTAAATGTAATATTATTTTTTAAAGACTGGGTGTTGATTGGCACTTGTAGAGTAGGTCATGCGTTTTATGACACTTGTTTCTGCATCGATGCGATGTCGTCACTTGGAAGTGACAGGTTCGATTCCCGGCTGGGCAACTGTAGCTTTCGGTTTCTATTGTGTCTTATGTGTCCTTCTGTCTTTCCACTTCTGTATATGAGTGCCTATCAATACATCGTCTGTTTGTTTATGAGATATGATGTCTTGTATGGAGAGGTAGCGGTAATGCAGACACCTACAGAAATGTTCAGAACCACTCTCATGTTCGATTGTTTGCTGATTGTCACTTTGCGCGTAGCTGTACGCATCTACGCGCTGTTATGTTGTTGAAATGTGAGCGCTTTGTTTTGAAATTGGTAATTAAAATGATTTGGTAGAGTGTTTGACAAAAGTGGAATATAGTGTTTCTTCTTCTTCTCCTCCTCCTCCTCCTCCTCCTCCTTCTTCTTCTTCTTCTTCTTCTTCTTCTTCTTCTTCTTCTTCTTCTTCTTCTTCTTCTTCTTCTTCTTCTTCTTCTTCTTCCTCTTCTTTTTATAATAATAATTATAATAATAATAATTGAATATTGCAGTTATAGTTGGGCAGAAATTCCAAAATACAGTAAGATTTGTTTGTTTGGAAACTTTTTTTGTTGCCCTATAATATATATAATATATATATATATATATATATATATATATATATATATATATATATATATAGACCTATATATAGGTCTCAGTCGCACTCAAGACCTACATCAAGTGGCAACGAACCGACAGACGTGGAAAGCTATGACCTCTGCCCTATGCGCCATCTTTGGCACAAGAGGAATAACTAACTAACTAACTAACTAACTAATAATATGAAAACTTTGAAACGCGACACTCTCAGGCTGCAGTAGACTATGACCGTCTTCAGTGTTGAAGACGGTCGGGACTGGACCACATGTAGCTTCAGTATTTCATACAAAATCTAAAGTTGGTAACCACACACAGCAGAAATGTGTTAGCGGTTAAGCCTACGAATGTGCAAGTCTCAGAATTGCTCATTATACTAGGTGGCGACATTGTCAGCTGAGAGTTGAGACACCGTTGGTCTCTTAATAATCGCTGCTTTCTCCTTGCTGGGCGCAAAACAAAATCGAACTCTCGTTTCACGACACGGACCCGGGGATCCTGTCCTGTTTTGTTTCGTGCTAGTCATCCACTTGTGGGATGCAATTTTTAGCCTTTTTAAAGCCCCACCCCGGCTTTTACCGGGGGCCCTAAAATATGGCCTGACGGCTGAACGGGGTTTTCGGGACCTCTTCACGGGTGATCCTCGTCCGCATGGTGGCACTTTGTGTCACCTGGTGTTTATCGCTTGTGCGATGTCCTGGTGGGGTAAAATTACCTACCTACCTACCTACCTACCTCACTGTAGCCACGTACTGGTTTTATGGTTTATACAACGGATCAACATTATAACACAAGGGTAGTAACCCATAAGCGCTCCGTTCTACTTCTAACTCAAGCCTGAGTCCGAAGTTTCTCAGTACTGTGCACGAACTCCGTAGCACCATATAGGATTCTAAAATACTTTGGGTAGATTTTAACTCTACATCTTGCCCGGGCAATGCCGTTAGGCTACTCTTTTTCGATTTCCAACTTCCAATGGATTTTTTTAGAGTGCGCAGCAATACACACGGGCGTCCGATCTTACTACCCAGAGACCAGGGGAAATTACTACAAGTCCACGGGTAAAATCCCAGCCTTCACCAAGGCTTTAGCCCCAAGCACTCGAGGCAGACGCCATGCCTGGAGACCACTCAGATCCCCTTCACAAATCGGATCCCTCTGTGCAAAGCCACGAGTTATTCAAGCTCTGTTTGCTCTTGCAACCATTAAAGTAAACGAGCTTTTCCCACCCCTTTAACGCT